GCAGCTAATGTGACATTTTTATTGTGGCAACGTTTCGGAGAGCGAAACCTTGCCACAATAAAAATGTCACATTAGTTGCACTTGTGTCCTTTTACTTTACAATGTGATCTATGCCACTTGAGAGTAAATTTATCCTCCCAGGTGGTCCATGACCCCTACGGGTTGAGCGCTCCACCATGAGTAGTACAGATAGCGAAGGTGTAGTAGTGCCATCTAGTGGTGGTAGTCAGAGTTTGTCAGTTATCAGTGATGATGTTATAGTGAAGCTCAGGACAGTGACTAAGCACAAGGTCACTAAAAATCAGTTGAACTTCAGTGGTCGTACAGGAGGGACATGTTGCTCTTCCTCCTACTGTCCCGCCGGCTTTACCGCTTCCTCGTCCTTTTATTACACCTAAATAAGGTAAGTATTGTCTGGTGATGTATTTGTCAGTAGAGTTGAGCTGCAGGTCCTGGTCCCCACCACCAGTTTGGTCACCAGATTAATAATATTTTAAGTCTTAATTTTCTTTGGGGTCTAATGTCTTGGAGGGGAGGATTGACCTTAGTGAAGGGGTTTTGATACGAGGAACTGGAGCTACTCCCCTTCCTCTGATCAAACAATAACTCCCACACTAGGCGTTATATAGCCTATAATGGTGTATCCAGTTCTGGGCTATTTTTTTCAATATTGGAAAATAACTTAGTGAAGGTCTCTTGATCCAAGGAACTTGCGCGTTGTGATCCAGATAATTTCCATGTAAACAAATTGTTAGTCATCAGGCTTATGTGAAAGAAAAAAATTTTATTAAAGAAAAATATTTGTATTACTATGTTAACAAAAATGGGTTTATGTCGGCGAAAATGTTCTGTTTATTTTTCATGGTAATGTTTGGCTATAAATGGTGTGTAATGTTCATAAGTTATAATCCCAAATTGTTTTTTTTGGGGTTTTGAGAGTGAAGGGTTGGCTTGTCTCTGCAACTTGATCAACACAGCAACTTTGACCATCTGGGGGTGGAGCAACTATAGTAAATGATGACTCACAACATTTAGTGTTATATGGAGTCGCAGTTGGGACGTCGTTAGAGGGGGGCGGACCCCCTTTAAGGTTTTTTCCAAGGGTTATAAGTTCACTAAAGTTTTTTATTGAAGTGACGTAATTGTATTAGGTGGGAAGGTGGTGGGGGGGAGTATAGGGAAAAATTGTAAAAAATTGATATCAAAAGTAGCTTAGTGGGAAATATTAGCTTATCTCCCGACCAGATATGAAATCTTTGGCCAGGAAATAATGAGGAATGTATCCACAGGTTACCTTGAACTGGGTGGAAATAAAAATTGGAGAAATGGGTTTTAAAGCTTAGAATTGAAGACTGGTTTTAGTTAGTGTAATATATCTTTATTATGCAGTCTAGACCCATCCTGCAAGATTGTAGGAAACATGAAATGTGTAAGTGATATATCATGGCTCAGTTGGTAGTGGCCCACGTCAACTGAAGAACCGGGATTCGATCCCGGGTACAAGTAGGCATGTTCCCTTGTATCCATTGGCACTGTTCATATAAGGAACACTGCAGCAGGCCTACTGGTAGGGGTCGCATCCTGGGGGAGTATAAATACCCTAATAAAAATGTCATAGATGTCATTCTGGCTTAATTGTGTAATTCTGTGTTAATCTACCGGGTTAATAATTATACTGAGATAGTTTAATGTAATGAGGGTACTGGTAGAGGTCTTGATGCCGGGTGTAAGGAAAGCCTATTAAGGAGCACTGAAGCAGGCCTATTGACCCATGTTAGGCAGGTCCAACTCTCAACTACTCATTTGTCTAACCTATTTTTAAAACTATAAAGCCAAAGTTTTAGCTTCACGTGACGATAAATTTTCCTTAGGCAGAATATATTATAGCCGGAATAATCTATAACAATTCTCAGAAATGTGGAATTAACCACCTCTTCCTATTTTTAGTAGGGTTATAGAGGACCTGGCCAAGTAATTTTATGCTTTGAAGTCCCAAAAATATTTTCAGTAGCATAGTCTTGTGGGTTTAGCGCTTACGATTCCAGTGTCTATTAGATCGTCTTGGGGGGGGGGGGAGCATTTGTTTTGAAATTGGATTATACAGTATATATTTAGAGACTAATCTGACTGATATTACCCAGACTCTCCTTGATCTTACCTAAACTCCCTTGATCTTACCTAGATCCCCTTGCCATTGCTCTGCAAATTAGTAAGGTCTATACCTGGAGTATACTGCATAGGTGTGGTGTATATATATAACACTGTATATCGACAATTATTTAGTTTCTGCTATCAACACAGCTTAAAGAATTAGATGGTGTTAAGTAGGATAGGTAAGGTATAGAACTGGAGAATCTGCTATATGCATTATGAATGCATATAGCAGGGGAGAGTAATCTCCCCCGAAGGCATAGATTACGTAGAACTGTGGGCCTTGGAACCCACCAACGACCTTCAGAAGCTGTGTGCAATCTGTTATTGCACGTGGTTTCTGTGGGGATGCTGGTGGGTTTCGGGCTTTGGGTAGTGGTTGCGGTGGGTGTTCTACGTATTTTATGCCTTTGGCAAGTCTAATTTCTTTTTTTACACCAAGTTCACAAAACTGACACTTGGGGAGGAAACTTGAGAGATTTCGGTATAACCTGGGCGGTTGTGAGACCACTTTCGACTGCATTTGGCCTTATTTTTTGAAAAAAAAAAAAAACTTTTTTCCTGAACCAGAATTCTCTTAACTTCTATTGTTTTCACATTATAAATGGTGTACAATACCAAGTTGGTAAGAGACATTGTGATAGGTATCATTATTCATGAAATGTTTCGCTTGGGGAGTAGGCTTTATTTGTCGACTAAAGAGGTGACAGCAGTCTTGGAGATTAAATTGGAGAGTTAATTTTGAGCTCTATCCTCCAACCTTGATAAAAGATGGTCAATATCTTAGCCAGACTTTTTATTTACTTCTAATTTCTTGCCTAGCATTGCCCAACAGGAATATTGGAGTTTCTTTTTATGTCTCTTGTAGACTCCTGTTGAACTTTATTATTGAAGGTTAACTTTTCGCAATTTCCCAACTGTTATTTTGTACTGATACTATTTCAGCTACGAATGTTGTTACTACTACTACCAGGACTTATTGCTAGACTGACTACCAGCACTTCTATTATTGCCACTACTAATACTACCACCATTTGTATTACCGCATATCTTACCACTGCTATCTATACAACTGTTACTACTACTACTTTTACTGCTACTATCTATACCACTAATACTGTTTTTTGAAACTTGAGCGCCTGACGTCCTTTGAAATTTCACCCCCCCCCCTCCATGGTTTTTGCGACCTGTCTTGTGGTCTATTGTACTTTTTGACCCTTTGTCTGACTTGATACTCGTCCAAGAGAAACCAAAAGATCGTCTCGAAATGCTTCTCCATTGTTGGTTTCCAAAAGTGTATTGCAAGTAGTTTATATATTTAGGTAGTTAGGTTAAGAATAGAACTGGAGAAACTGCTATATGCATTATGAATGCATATAGCAGGGGAGAGTAATCTCCCCCGAAGGCATAGATTACGTAGAACTGTGGGCCTTGGAACCCACCAACGACCTTCAGAAGCTGTGTGGAATCTGTTATTGCATGTGGTTTCTGTGGGGATGTTGGTGGGTTTCGGGCTTTGGGTAGTGGTTGTGGTGGGTGTTCTACGTATTTTATGCCTTTGGCCAAACTGTGCAAAGTTGAATGTTGATTCATTGAGTTTACACAATTTCATCATTTTGGAAAATTTAAGTGCCGTTCAGGTTCCTATGCATATAAAAGTATATTATCGTTCAGAATTGCAGTTGGTTGATAGTTTGTAAGTAGTGAAGTCTAAGGCTTCTACTGCAGATGTTAATGATGAAAATAATGGAAACCTCTGTGATCTGAAGTGAAGTGTTTAGTCGGCAGAAAGGATTCACTAACATCTGATGCTGGGGAGTATAGTTAGGGGGGTGATTAATACCAGTCTAAATGAGAATAGGATTATTAACCCTGCTGGGTTAGAAACCCAGAAAAATGGATAGTGAGAAGGCTTGAATGTAGTGGTCCTCAGGTTGTGCCTAGGATGTCAGCCATAACTGGAAGGTAAGGCAGGTTAAGAATTCAGGCTAGCCTAGTAGTGTGTTAGGAAACTGACAATCTAAACAGCTGGAGGCCTCCCATATAACAACCAACATTTGTCTAGTGTGCTATGAGGGACCTGAAAGTGTACGGGAAATATTGTCTTAGGATTATTAGCATGTTAAATTTGATGCCCCTGTACTAGTGAAGGAATCTTGATACAAGCAGTTGCAAGTACCCTCCCCTTCCTTGGATCAAGCCTGATTGCTTAACTCCTATCCACTCCTTGGGGAATGCTATGTGCACAAATCGATTCGTGTCGATCAGGTTTGAATCAGGAGAGTAGTGCAAGTTTATAGTCATGACTTTTCTTCTGTTAGGCGTCTATATTTAAGGGATATTACGAGTAGGTTTGACTAGGTTGTAATGCATGTTAACCCCCCCATCCCCCCTAACTTTCCAACTTCCTTAATTTCCGCAGAATCCTCCTGACAACAAGGTGATCCTGGCTCCAGTGTTCTAATAGCCTGTGTTAAAGACTTGTGCATGCGGAAGTGTTAGTGAAACAAGTGATGTAATGACTGTCCACTGCCGCAACACTTATTTTCCGACAAGGTCATGAAATTTAAAAATGTATCATACCTCAAGCTACTAATAATGGCAGTATTGAGGCTGTCTGCCTCGTTACTGCTGTTAGTAGGGTTGGGGTAGGTATTTTTTTTTTTTTTCCCCGAGCTTCAAGCTCCCGAATTGTGTGAATGTTGTCCTGCTGACGTACAGCAGTTGAGGCTTGTCTCAGTTATTTCAATTTTCTGTTCCTTGAACACCTTTGTGTGTTCCTTGAACATTTCTTTGCTGTGATAAAGAAACTGTTTCTTTATTTATTACATTTTAATTAATGCTCCTAAATTTATCGAATCTTGTAGGTTGAAAATATTCTCCATGCCGTGGGCAGCTGCTGTGTGGTGAAGTCAGTGTTGTGAGAAGCTGCAAGTCTTCAGAAATGTCATTACCAGCAGCAACTCGCCAAAACAATGTCTGCAAAGATAAAAGTATGGAGATTACTAGATTATTCATGAACTGCAGTAAGCAGTTATTTGAAGTTATGTATTTAGAATGCTTCCTTCAACATCGTAGAAAAAAAATTGCAAACGTATTTTCAAAGCTGATCAAAAATTACCATGAAATTGGAGTAACCAAAAAAAAATTTTTTAATTACCAGAGGTTGATGTAACTGGAAGAGGTGGTGTTGGTGTGGTGGCTGGCAGAGGAATGACTAGTGGCGCCACTATTCTTGACCTCCATGGCTAAATGGCGCCATTGACCTGGAGGAGGGGGGGGTGATGACGTCAGTGGTTGTTTGTGGGGAGGGGGAAGGTCGTTAGGGGAAGGGTCGGGGGTTGACTGCTGGTGGAAGGATTTTGTTTTTATATTTTATTTAAAAACCGTAATTACAAAAAACATGTATGAAAAAGCAACCGAAACATTAAGTGGAAATATTTGTATGACACACAGCAAACATGAGAAAAACACCCATATCGCAAAACATCCAAGAAAACCACCACATCCACGCCACAAACACTCCCACAATACAGAATGTTACATCACAATATAGTAGTTTTAAAGCATAATAACTAATATATATGTGTATGTATGTGTATATAATATATATATATATATTATATGTGTGTGTGTGTGCGTGTGTGTGTGCATATGCAAAACAACTACTGTGAAAGAGAAGTGAAATTCCAAGCGCTTTCGTGACTACTCATATTGATATGCCTTCTCTTCTTAAGACTTTTAATATTAAAGTTGTATTTAAAAATCTTGATACAATAAAAAAAACTTTTGATAAAGAATTCCCCCCAAAATGCTGACGGATGTGTCTAAGATTCCTTGTAAAATTTGCGATAGTTTATTACGGTCAAACTGGTAAAAATCTCGAACTTAGATTAAAACAACATAAATATAGCATTAGAACTGGACAAGATTCATGTGAGAGATTTTAACCATCCAATTGATTTTCAAAAAGTTGAGAAAGTTGTATCAAGCAAGTCCATGATTGACAGAAATATAATTGAATCTTGTCTCATAAAAAGCAGTTTTGAAAATATGAATATTTCCTTAGGTTTATATAAATTAGACTCATTTATAATTAATAAAATTTGGTTAGAGTTTAATACATTGGACAAATAATAAACCATATTTCCTGGGTAGAATATTTTGTTAGTGGGATGTCGTGAGGACCTGTCTATTAGGTAAGACACATATGCAACAGTTAGGTATCTTTATTATAAAACGTTTCGCCTACACAGTAGGCTTCTTCAGTCAAGTACAGAAAAGTTGATAGAAGCAGAAGATACTTGAAGACGATGTAATCAGTCCATCACCCTTAAAGTTTTGAGGTGGTCAGTCCCTCAGTCTGGAGAAGAGCATTGTTCCATAGTATGAAACAATATGGAGAAGAAGTGACAGGATGGAGCTTTTATAGCGCCAGGAGGTGAGACGTAGGCCACTAGGAGAGGTAAGAACTCAGATGTTGAAGGTTAGGTCCCTCTCAAACCCAGCCCCTCTCACTAGTGGAAGTTGTCGAAGTTGATTGCAGGTCTGTACCAAGATACCCTTGTGTTGCCGTGTCTGACAGATTGAACATTAAAATGGTATAAAATACCGACAGGTTGTTAGGTAAGACACATATGCATATTGTCTTACTAACAACGTCGGTATTTTATACCATTTAATGTGCAATCTGTCAGACACGGCAACACAAGGTATCTTGGTACGACCTGCAATCAACTTGACAAACTTCCATAGTGAGAGGGGCTGGGTTTGAGAAGGACCAACCTTTCATAATCTGAGTTCTTACCTCTCCTAGTGGCCTACTTACTCCTGCGCTATAAGCTCATCTGTTCAATCTTCTCCATATTTTGTCATACTATGGAACAAGGTTCTTCTCAGACTGAGGGTACTCGACACTCAAACTTTAAGGGCTGTTTGGACTGATTACATCGTCTTCAAGTATCTTCTGTTCTATCAACTCTTTCTGTACTTGACTGAAGAAGCCTACTGTCGTAGGCCGATAAGTTTCATAATAAAGCTTACCAGACTGTTGGTATATGTGTCTCAGTACTAACAACCTGTACGGAATTTTATACACATATTCTAATGTTCAGGACCTGTCTAGTTAGACAGCGGACCTAGCAGTTCCCCTATGCAGTGTTCCTCTTTTCTTATGAGTCCGGTATTGTCGCGCGTCAGGTGTTTCTTTGTTGTGGGGTTTGACTGTGAGGTGGTCTAAGCCCTTTAATTGCCTTCCTTTGATGTATTACTTTCATAGTTCCTTGACAATGTGAGTAGTCACGAAAGCGCTTGGAATTTCACTATTATTTCACAGTGGTTGTTTTGCATATTTTAAAATCACCTGTTTACTGTGATCTTATTGCGCATATATGCATAAAATATAATTATATATATATATATATATATATATATATATATATATATATATATATATATATATTATATATATATATATATATATATATAACCCAATACACACAACTTAGATCATAACACAGAATAAACAGTGTTACGTGCGTTTCACAGAGACGCATAGACAAAATACCTAGTAATACATAAGCTTACGGAAGCCAGTACAAATCATTTCTATAATTCACACTCTTGGAGTAGAGAGGACGTGTGCTGCTGCTACCCCCTGGTGTTGACTGGGTGCAGTAATATTTTCACAACATGGCGCAGGCTTGTCGCCGGAGGGTTAATACAGTCTGTATTGAATTAACCAGTGGAGCTATCACGGGGCCGTCTATGGAGCTACTTCTACCAGCAATAATTAGAGACACCTACGGCGTAGCTACTGAAGAGATTTGTGGAGTTGCCTTGAATGGCACGAAGAGGATATTTCTTAAATTCAATTCGACGAGTATGTATGAAACAGTGGTGAACAAGTTTCAGGAAGTGGCCATACCTGTGAATCATACTGTCACGGTGAGGATGTATCAAGTTACTTCACTTACCTGGAGGTTATTCCGGGGATCAACGCCCCCGCGGCCCGGTCCATGACCATGCCTCCCGATGGATCAGGGCCTGATCAACTAGGCTGTTACTGCTGGCCGCACGCAGTCCGACGTACGAGCCACAGCCCGGCTGATCCGGCACTGACTTTAGGTATCTGTCCAGCTCTCTCTTGAAGGCAGCCAGGGGTTTATTGGCAATTCCCCTAATGCTTGATGGGAGGCTGTTGAACAGTTTTGGGCCCCGGACACTTATGGTGTTTTCTCTTAGTGTACCAATGGCGCCCCCTACTTTTTATTGGCGGCATTTTGCATCGCCTGCCCAGTCTTTTACTTTCGTAGGGAGTGATTTCTGTGTGCAGATTTGGGACCATTCCTTCCAAGATTTTCCAAGTGTAGATTATGATATATCTCTCCCTCCTGCGTTCCAAGGAGTACAAGTCAAGTGCTTCCAAGCGTTCCCAGCGTTCCCAGTAGTTAAGGTGCTTGACAGAACTTATACGTGCAGTAAAGGATCTCTGTACACTCTAGATCTGCGATTTCACCTGCTTTGTATGGAGATGTTAATGTACAGCAGTATTCCAGCCTAGAGAGAACAAGTGATTTGAAAAGGATCATCATGGGCTTGGCATCTCTTGTTTTGAAAGTTCTCATTATCCATCCTATCATTTTCTTTGCACGTGCGATCGTGGCACTGTTGTGATCCTTGAAAGTGAGATCCTCAGACATTACTACTCCCAGGTCCCTTACATTATTTTTCCGCTCTATTGTATGGCCGGAGTCAGTAGTATACTCTGTTCTAGTTATTATCTCCTCCAGTTTTCCATAACGGTGAAGATCAGGAATGTGCCATTTGAGGCGGATGCATCTGACACAAGGTTTGCCATGAGTAAATATGGGACGGTACACACGGTCACTGCAGGAAGATGGTCAGCTGGTACGTATATGGGGATACCTGAGGGTACGTACTCTGCAAAGATGACGATACGACATCCTATACCGTCGTATGTGGTGATGGAAGAATTCAGAACTCAGGTATTTGTGACATATGCAGGGCAACGACGCACTTGTCGTTTGTGTGGGTCGTATGAACACCTGGCAGCGCAATGTGGTAGAGGACGTGGAGACAACGACCTGCAACAACGAAGAAACGTAGAGGTGAGGAGAGTGGAGCAAGAGCAGCCTTTTTCGACACTGACTCCGCAGAGTGTGTCATGGAGTGAGGAGGTTGAGAAGGCAGAGATGGCAGGTGCTACGAGTGGGGGGGACTCCCCTTCCTTGGACGTGGTTCAGGCATTGGAGGAGATCATCGCGGAAGTGAATGATAGCAAGGAGGAAGCATCGACGACGCTTGTGGATATTTTGGGCACGGGGCCGTATCAGGAAGAAGGCACGATCCTGGATCTTGGAACTATTATGGAGGACGGAGGGGCGAAGGTAGTTCGTCCTAAGGTGTGTGACAAGGCTGTCTTGTCGGTGAATACGGTGGAGGTTGAGGTTCATCGTGGTGATGAGCTTGATGAGATGCAGGTCGACGGTACGACGCGAAAGCGCGCAGCAGTGCTTTATGATTCAGATGAAGTGCTTACGCCCGCACAACGTTCAGGGAAGAAAACATGGGCGGATGTCACGCAGAGGGGTTCAAAAGACACTCAGGGACAGGGATCGAGTAAGAGTGCACAAAAAGGGGGGGGAGGAGGGATAAGAGTGCAATGAGGCGATCAGGTGACAAAAAAGTTGTCAAGAGGGAAACCACCTTTGTCGGTTTTAAGTGCTTGACATTGAACATCAATGGTTTGAGGTCGCAGAGAAAGTGTGAGTGGTTTAGGGAGTTTTTGGAGCGTCATGGTGTTGACGTTGTGTTCTTGCAAGAGCATAATTATAGACATGGTTATGAGTTGAAGGTGGAGGGATATAAGGTGTATGTTGAACATGCGGTCAGATTGAAAGGCGGTGTGGCTATATTGGTAAAGGAAACTAGCCCGTTGGTTGTCAGGCATTGTGAAGGGGGGGGGAGGGGA